GGCTGTTGCAGTGCTCTGGGTCAGAGATGGGGCTGGCTCTCTCAACGTGGCGGCAGAAGGGATGGACAAGAGGACAGACAGAAATACCAGTGGGTGGGCCCGTGGGACCTGGTGTTAGATGAGACAACTGTCAGGTTTCTAGCCAGGGACCCACCTGGTGGAGCCTGAACATCCCCGCTGGGTTTAGGAACAAGGCAGTCCTTGGTGACTGTGCTCAGAGCCATCCCAGGGGCAAGGGGGTGGGCGAGGTGGGGGGAGAGACCACATTTCCGTAGCTGAGGGAGGAAGAGGTCACAGGGCAGGAATACCATGGGGACATCTACCTTAAAGCAGCTGGACGGTAACCAAGTGCGGGGGGAGGAAACGGGTGGGGGGCTGCCAGGCAAGTGTGAGCAGGATGACTCACGAGAGAGCCCAGCGCATTTACACCCACCAGGGGAGGCCGGTGTGGACGGAGTTGCTCACAGGAGGGCAGATCTGCTGGTCTGCTCTCCCAGGGCCAGGCCACGGGCAGGGCCTGAGGTCAGCCGCAGGCAGGAGGCAGGGAGGCTGGGGAAGCGGAAGGAGCCGCAGCTGAAAGGTTTCCTCCAGCAGGAGGTGCCCTCTTTGATGTGTAAGGGGGAGCTGCGTTCCAGCTCACGCTGGGGAGGCTGTGGTACTTAGCAGGCGAAAAACACTCTCTGGAGCCAAACCACCAGGGTTTGGGCCACCCCCCACCCCAAGCATATCAGCTGGGACCCTGGTCTTGCCTTACCTGGCATTGCCGTGCTGATGAGTTGCATACACTATATGTCGTGTACAGCAGGGTTCTGCATCCCTGGTCTGGGACTGATGCCGCCTGGAGATGGGTCTCCTGTCCGAGTAGGCCCGTCCAGGGCTATTCTTTTAATAGTGTTAAAGACAATAAATTAGGGAATTCCACAAAAGAATCATGAATTTTTAGCTTTTCCTGGGAATAAAACAAAACGTGGTCTGCAGGGTTCAGTCTTGCGTGGTGATGGGCTGAGTCCTTGCTGCCCCTCCTGTCAACCAAGTACCCTTCCACAGCCCAGTGGCCACAGGAACCACATCCTGGGATGTGCCTTCCCCTGGTCCCTGCGCCCCAGGCTCTGAACCCTGAAGACGGACACGCTGACTCCAGTCTGGTTTGTCAGCGCTGTGCCTGGCCAGCTGTCAAACATTTTGAGCATCACCTTTGCTCGTGGGCATTTGAGTTTGTGCCTCCGTGTGAAAATAGCCAGGATTCTCTTCGAACTGCTTTTTGAGACTGTGGGATGTAGGTAAAGTACAATTTCTGCACCTAAAGGAGGGAGGCAAGTCAGACCTGTATCAGGACCGATATTAAGACCCACCAAGATTAACAGTGACCAAGACTCTTAAGAAAGAAGGGTCTGCTTAAAAGCAGAAACAAGACTGCATGGGGAGCAGGTCCCACATCCTCAGAACAGGGATTTTGCTCTTTCCCAGCCCTCGCTGGAGTCATGTGCTGGTCACAGAGAAATCCCCTAACTCCTCCAGTTTGTCTGAGAGTCCATGTCAGTGGGTCCCTGAGCACCTCTGACCCAAGTGGCCAAGTGTCACACGTCTACGGGGAGCCCAGCATCAACCTCATTATAGGGTCTGAGCAGGACAAGACAAAGCGCTATGAGGATGGAGCTTTTGGCAGGTTCATCTGGAAATGGGCCCTGACCCTGGAAGAGATCGCAATGAACTTCACAGCCGCCGTTGGTCAATGGGCATGCGAGGTTGGGCTCAGACCAGCTCCACCCGTCTCTGGGAGGACAAGGCTCCTTCTGTCCACCGCCCTTCCCAGCATTTCTCACTCCACACTCTCCTGAGGTGGCTGTCTGTGCTGCAGCTGTGAGGCATCCTAATGAACCTCATAAATACGGCCATTTCTCTAGAGCACCTGTTCCCTAAGATGGAGGAATTGGCAACTTAGCAGAGACACACTGAGATGAGTATTCTCTTGCTGATCGTTATGGGGTTTTGAGGTGTGCATGATGGATAATTATAGAAAGCTTGGGGGTAGCAATTACCCTGGGTTCATTAGTGCATTCGAACAAATTTGATCAAGAATTTTACCACATGCCTCCTGCGTGCCAGACTCTGATGGGCCCTCAGAGAAGTTCAAGGACGCCCCTTCCTGCTCAGCACAGAGCGGCTGTTCAGAGCTGGGGCTGCCAGCAGGTGGCCCTAGTTTCAGATGCCCTCCTGCCAGGATAAGCCCTGGGATGGTGGGATGGGGGGACAGGACATGGGAAGTCACTCTTCACGTCTCCTGCTGGGAGTTCCCCCATCAGCAGGGTAGGCTTACATGGAGTCTGAGGGAACAGTGCACGTCAGGCCCCAACAGAGGTTCCAGAGCTGAAGGAGGGCTTGTTGCTCTGTCAGTTCATTACTTCCGTGCCCACACTTCCATTAATTTTGTTGGCAAACAGTACATATTCTCTTCTTGAAGAACTGCTACTGCTTATGAATTCCCATATGCAATCATCTGCCAAGAAGTCTGCTAAACTGACATCCAGAACAACAGGTGAAGTTCAGGGCTAGGAGGTGAAAGGTTTGGGTCCTGACCTTGAGTCCCTCACTGGACATGGAGTCACAGCTCTTCTGATTTCAAATGACAGAAGTCCATTTCCAGAAGGACTTAGATAAGAGGAGAGAAGTAGGGGAGAAGTCACTTAGGGATGGCTCAATCCATGGGCTCCAATGACATTACCAAGGAGGCCTCATATTTAGACTCTCCTTGGTCCCGTCAGCTGTGTTATCCGGTGGGCGATCTCTTTGTGGAGGCCAGATGCCTCCTAGATGCGCCACAGTTACATCTCCACCTCTCAACAACTTCAGCACCAGAAAGTTCCTCTATGCCAACAGCTGCCACCAAGGGCTGAGGCCTGATTTTCTTGGCAAAGGTGGTCGATGTGTCTCCCAGGAGCCAACCCGTGACTGGGAAGACAGGTGGGACAAGGTGTACAATAAGCTGACAGACCTAAGCCAGAGTCACAAGACACTTGGCTGAAATGGCAGCAGGGTCAGGCTCACCCAAAACATGTGGAAGGGAGGGGACTCCCCAAAGAACGTCAGGTAGGCTGGTCTCAAGGAGGAAACACATCTCATGCAGATGAAAACAGCATGTGTTCATCACACCCTTTGATATTCCACCATCTAGCTTCCACTGTGAAAAGTGGAGTTCGTTCCCTTTCACAGAATCGACAGAAGGACTAGAGAGAGTGTCCTGCGGGAAGAAAAGGATCAGTCTCCTGTATCTTATTGCCTAGGATTCAGAGTTGTTACTTTGAGACCAGGACGCCATTTGCGTTTGTATGATCCAAAGCCCCAGATAAGTCCCACCTTTCTGGGCACCTGGGTGGCTCAGTCGGTTAAGCATCAGACTCTTGATTTTGGCTCCGGTTATGATCTCAGGGTCGTGGGATGGAGCCCCGGGCAGGGAGTCCGCTTGAGAGTCTCTCCCCTCCCCCGGCTCCTCCCCGTGCTCATGCTCATGTGCTCGCTCTCTCTCAAACAAACACATCTTTTGCTTTTTTAAATCACATTTCTGACAGCCCACGGTTTCAGCAACTTTGGAAGGAGGTGCCATTGTCTCTAGCAGCTGTCAAGCAAACCTCTGTCTGCAGGACATCGCCGGGCTCAGCCACACGCAGCATCACCTGCACGGGCAGCGCTGCAGGGCGGCTCTGCCCCGACTCTTGCGTGAGCCCTTCACCCTGCCCCCCACACTCAGTAGAGGTGACGGTGATTCTCTGGCAGGTTCAGGAGGGGGTCCCGGGGAGCACGCGTCCCAAACCTCAGGAGGCACTACACCGATTACGCGGGTCCCCGTGCGTCAGAACAGGATCAGGAACTTTCCAAGCATCTTCTCATCCCGGTTTTCCTTGCCGAACACAGACCCCAAGAAACACGACAACCCAGGTGTTCCCTACGCCCTTCGGGGGCGGTGGCCGTTAGCTCTCCTGCATAGGGGGAGCCGAGACATAGGAAGCCCGGACGCCATCCGTTCACTCGGGGAACATACTAGGCGCCGGGATGCGGGGTGCCCGATTTCCAGAGGCTCAGGCGAGCAGCGCACGAGCTGCAGGAGCCCTGGGACTGGAATCAGAAAGGCCGGGGCTTGCGCAAGCTACTCCACCGCCGCCAGCCTCGGTTTCCCCATCGGTGACACGGGGGTAACCCTCGTCAGCCGAGGCTCAGATGCGGTCGCCTGCAAGTCGCGGGACTCCACCGCAGCGCGTGCTCCGAGGCCGGCCGGCGGGGTCCACCTCCTCCCGCTCGCCTCGGTCCCAGCCCGCCTCAGGCTTCCTAATGGCCGCAGCGCCACCAGCACCACAGCCGCCCGCCCTGTCCAGACGACTCCCTCTCCCTCACCGGGAGACTCTTTCCCGGGTTCCCCCTGCAGACAGCCCCTCGCAGCTCATTGGGCAGAACTGGGTCACGTGGCCACCTAGACCAATCACTGGCCAAGTGGAGCAGGATTGGCACGACGGATTAGCCAATCATAAGAAGCTTTGGACAGGGCCAAGGTTGCGCCTGCGTGAGCGCTTCCAGGCTTCCCACAGCAAGCGTTTCCGGAGCCCGTGTACAGTGAAAAGAATGTTCCAGAAGTGCACGTTCTGCCGCAGGGGCAGCTCTGGGCCGCTCCGTGAGGCCGGCCCCAGAGCCACACCCTCCTGGTCCTGTGGTTCATTACTGTGTGGACAGTGTCTCCTCAGGCCTGTGGAGACCGGTTGGATGCAGTGGTAGCAGATGGAACAACAGAGCCTGAGCCGCACATCCGGGGCCGTGGAGAGTCGGGGTGGGGGCGAGGAACGGGGAGAGGCAGAGCCAGCGGGAGAGTCACAGTGTGTGGGGGGAGTGGGGGTGACGGACACGGGGACGGGACAGGCAGCGGAGTGGGGGGGAAGGACGTGGGCACAGGGCAGGACAGGCAGGGGAGTGGGGGAAGGACACAGGACAGGCAGGGGAGTGGGGGAAGGACACGGGGACAGGGCAGGGCCAGACGTACGGAGGGACTCCACATGAAGCCAGGTGAGTGTGGGTATGAAGATGCCCACGTGGCAGCGGCACGCAGGAGGGTGGCGGGAGGCTGGGACCCCCCCCCGCTGCCTCCTGAGGAGTGTCCCCACTGGCGTCTGTGTTGGCGCATGGGGTGCGATCCAGGAAGCTCTTCCTTGCTAGCTCTCTCCCCCCGTGGCTGCAGTGACCGAGAGCCGCCACCTTCCAGAGGCTCCGCACTGACGTACGCTCTCCCTGTGCCAGGTCCGGCGCGGCCCGGGGGGGTGCCCTCCTCACAGCGCCCCGGGCGTCCCGGCTCCGTCCATCGTCCGGGGCTCCCACTTCAACCCGGGGCTGCCAGGTCGGGCGGGGGCTGGGACTGGCTGCTGACCGTGAGCCTCGCGGCGGCCCCTGGTCTCCATGCCGAAGGTTCTGGAGCGCCTTGGCCTGGGTGCCGGGAGCTTCCTCTGCAGCTCCTCTGTGTGACCTCTGTGGTCACCTCCCCGTCTGGGAAACAGGCGGTGACGCGGCCCGCGTCCTGGGGCGGTCGTGAGGACAGCCCGTGATAAACACAGCAAGTGCAGCATGTTGTCGTGTTCGAGAGCAGGAACGCGGCAAGCACACGACAGGCATGTTTCGTGCATCGGAAGCACGCAGCTGGCCTGACCGGGAGGCAGGTCTGACTGTCAGTGTTTCTGTGGACTCACTGAGGACTGTCACCGTGCTGGGCTTGCTCCGCCCCAGCCTGCGGGACGCAGGTCACCACCTGAGTCTCCTTTTTCCAGGCGGGAGCAGGGGAGCAACGGTTCCCTGTCTGGGGCGAGCGCAGAGTGGAGGGCGAGGGGCCGGCAGCTGGGGAAAAGTGGCTCTTGGTCGGGTTTAATCCTCAGGCCCGTGTTCGGTGCATATTCAATGGCTTTGGGTGTCTCCACCGCCTCCCAGGGCGCTCTGAGGCCGGGGGAGGGGCTTCGCATGCCCGCTGCCCTGGGTTCAGCCTTTCCCAGCCCGGTGCCATCTCCCAATGACAGAGAAGCCAGCAGGCTCCAGCTGTCCCCCCTGGGGGACGCCCCCACACCTCCCGGAGTCCTGCTCTTGGTCCAGGACGCGGGTGAGGAGCCCCGAGGTCGTGCTGGGGCAGGGGCGCGTGCCTCGTGGGTCCCCCCACTGGGTGCCAGCAGTCTCCCGGGGCTGGCCCAGGGATCTGGCTGTCCCAGACTAGAGAAAACCAGTCGGCGAAGGAGGGAAATCCAGGGCCTTGTTCAGGGCTGGGGGCGGGGCTCACCCACAAGGTGATGGTGATGGTGACAGGGCGCAAGGCTCAGTCAGTGCTGGGCAGGCTGAGCTGGAGACACACGGGGCCCACGGGAGGCAAGAAGTAGGCAGACGGCCGAGTGACCCGTTTAGGGGTTAAATGATGCCCTGTGGCAGGGACGTTGTACAGTCATCATTTATTGAACACCTGCTGTATACCGAGGCAGCAACAGCTCAATTCTGCGTCAGATTTCCAGGAGACAACTACTTTACGGACTGGGCAGGGTGTTTTAATTGAATTGTAAATGACAGACAACCCAACCTGAAGTGCCTGAAGCAAAGGCAGAGTTATTTTTTGGCACATGTACTCGGGAAGGCCCGTGGAGCCACGAGCTTTAGCAGCAGCTCCTCCAGAGTCCAGCTGACCGGCTCTGCAAAGTCTCTCCGCTCCCCCACCAGCGGGCGACCTTCTCTGTCTGTCTCCTCAAGTACGAGAGCCACTCCCGGGGCCTTCTGCCTCAGGGCTGGTGTCCAGCAGAGAGAAGCGAGCCTCTGAACCAGCATTCCACCCGGATGTTCTTGAACCTTCCTGGACTTGCCTGGGTCATGGGCTCGCCCCTGAACAATCACGGTGGCACAAGGAAGGCCGTGCACTCTTACTCAGGCCTGGACCATGGGGCTTACTGCCGAGCCCTGGATGGAGTCCACTTCAGATCACATGGGCTGCAAGTGTGGAAGGGGGTGGTCACCTGGAGGAAACTGAGGGCCTTTCTCAGGAGAGGGGCAAAGGGCAGCTGGGCGGTGGGACAGCAGAGGTCCCTTGCAGGGAGTGAAATGTGCCCCCTGCACGTGAGGATTATTGCGGGCTGAAGGCATGATGGGAAGTTGTGGAGAAGCAGATACACAGAGAAGCCCTCTGCCCTGCATCTGTTTGCCTAAACTCAGGATATGACCTGGCAGAGGCGTCTTCCCTCCCTTTCAGCTAGGAGGAACGAGAGTGAACCACCAGAGACAGACGTGCACCCTGGCAGCCAGGGCACACAACCAGAGGCATCCACACGTCACATGTCACAGACCGGACTTGTCTTTCATGTTCCCCCATATGTTTACCTTCCCACGATTTGCTGCCCCAGAAACACAAACCTCTTCCTATGTCTTGTCATTTCTCTAAAAGCTCGTTGTTCTTTTAGTTTAGATGCTAGATAAGCCCCACTACTAAGTGCCATTTGGAAGTACTCATCGATGAGTGCTCTGATGGATGGGTTAAAAAGCTCCTGTTTGTGTTCCTCCTGTTGATCTCTCCGGCCAGTCTAGTTCCCATGGCCTGGTCGGTGAAGCTGGGAGGTGTAGTGGTGAAAAGGTTTTTTAGTCCTCCCCTGCACCACCATACTACCATTTATCACACCATTTTATAATTAGGAAAGTTGAAGTTCAGATAGCGTAAGTGGCCCCCCTTGGTCACACAGCTGATGGTGAGGGATGGATGAGATTCTGTCCCAGTTGTGTGGACTCTGTTGTCTGACAGCATCCTGGGCCATTCTGCTGGGCCTTCACAAAATCCTCTGTTATTTGTGGCTAAGGGATTATGTTTCATCTTTCTTGATATCCCCTGTAGGTGCCAGAACAGAGTCTTAAATAGAGTAGTTTTCGATAATAGAATTGAAAATTTCACCCAAAAGGATCACTGGCGCAATAACTTCAAGTTTAATATTAAGTTTTAAACCCATTTTCTAGCTGAATGCCCTCCTTTGCCATTTTGTAATAATGTCCCTTTTATTTTCAAGGATTGCTGAGGCAGTGAATTTCAAAGACTGTGTGATGCCTGCAGCCAGTTACCACATTTCCCTGGAGGAGCCATTACCACCCGCTCCCCCAGAGTGTATTAGGCGGCTCCCTCACCACCATCCATCTTGGGCGCCGATAGGTGACTTTCTCTTCTTTGATTTGGTTTTGCTTTTAGGACAGTTGTTTGTGTGATCATGAGAAGAGTCTTCGATGGTGGTGCTGGTGGGCTGAACCAGCACTCTTCTCCTCCAGGAGGTCCTTCCTTTTCTCCTTCTGTAGCAGAAATGCCCCTCCAGTGGCAACGAGGGTGGTTCTCCAGGTATTATGGAGTAAAAGAGACCACGTTGAAGATTGCATATGGCAGCACAGCAACCAGGAACGTGTCTATGAAAGAAAAGATGTGTTTTAGGGGGTGGGAGACTGTGCTTTCCGGGAGGACTGGGGATAAATTGGCCAGTTCTTGGTTATCTTGTTTGATGATCCATGCTTTCTGCTGGAGAGAGACACTCTTGAGAGTGTAGAATAGAACAATAAGATTTGCCCTGTTGCATTAAAGCTTTAAATCTCTTTTTCAGCAGATGAAAATGCCCAAGGATTGATAAGGGAGATGCAAACAGTCTGCTCAGTTTTTAAAAAGTTTCCTCCTGCCTGATTTAGTGAGAAACGTCCTCACAAAAATTGTGTGATTTTTTAATATCTGCTGTCACTGTGGCCATAGTTCATGGATGTTCATGAAATGCTTGTTGACCCCAGGGTTGTGATCTTCCCAAGATAATTACTGAGGAGAAGCCAAACATGTCTGGTAGACGTAAGAGAGGTTAAAGAAGAATCCTTGCAAGGACTTTCAATTCCATTCCATTCATACATTCATTTTGTTCCATCCCACCCATTCTACCCACTCTACCCACTCCATCAACTCCCTCCACTGTATCTACTCCACTCCATTCCATCCACTCCATCCCACCCACTCCATTCTATCCCACCCATTCCACCACTCCATCCTTTCTGTCCCACTAATGATTATTAAGGTCCTGCCACATGCTAGACACTTTATCTATGCATGGTGCATAGTGTGCATGCTTTTTGTCTCCACAACAGTCACCCTTCTGTCCCCATCTCAGAGAAGACCAGAGCTTTTGATTCAGTCATGAATTGCTGACTGAACTTGGGAAAGTGAGGACTGTCATTCTCCCTGCAGTCTCCTATTCCAGCCTCCCTGGGCCCACCTGTACGTGAGGACCTTTCCTCCCCAGGATACTCATTTGAGCATAATTTCCTGGAGATTCATCCAGATTTCTACCTATGTCAACAATTTACCCCTTTTCATTGTTGCGCAGTGTTCCACAGCTTGGGCGTACCACAGTTTGTTCAGCCATTCACCTGTCGAAGGACAGCTGGGCTGTCTCGGGTTTGGGGCTATTGTGAATAAAGCTGCTGGAAACATCCATGTGCAGGTTTTTGTAGGAACATTTCTTTTCTCTGGGATAAGTGCTCAAGAGCATAATTCCTGAATGGTATGGTTGGTGCATGTTTAGTTTTATATGAAACTGCCAAACTATTTTCATAGCAGCTGTCCCATTATGTGTTCCCACCAGCAATGTATGAGTGATCAGTTTCCCCACCTTCTCCTAAGTATTTACTGTTGTTGCTCGCTAGTTTTTATTTTAGCCATTCTGATAGTGTGTGATTTTTATTTGTATTTTCCTGATGGCTGGTGATACTGAACATCTTTTCATGGGTTTATTTGCCATCTGTATGTCCTCTTTGGTGAAATATCTGTTCATGTGGTTTGCCCATTCTCTAACTGGATTGTTCATATTTTACTGGTTAACTCTGAGAGTTTTTAATGTTTTTGGTTGTTATTTCTTTCTCAGATATATGGTTTCCCAAAATGTTTCTCCAGTCTGTAGCTTGTCTTTTCATGCTCTTCACATGGGCTCACACAGAGCTGAAGTTTTCAGTTTGGGTGAGGTTCCCTCCTATATAACCCATCACTAACCTGTTGATATGACCTCCAAAATTTCCCTGGACTCCAGCCACTGTTCTCCATCTCCATGGGTCCTTTCTAAAGCTGTGTGTTCTAGGCTACTCCTCCCACGCTTGTGAGTGGGCCCCTCCCTTACCCACCCTGGGGGCATTAGTGGAACTTCCCAGAGAGGGTGTCCTCCCAGACCCTCCCTCAGGGGCCCACAGCCCATCTCACATTCTCCGCCAGGGGTCAGACGAGGCATCTGGTGGGTTCTGAAACAGACATGTCAGGATGTGCCGTTTGTGGTCAGTCACCAATGGACTTTGGAATCTAGGTGTCATGTTGGTGCCTCATTTGAAATTCCCTTTTTATTATCCTGAGTTTTATTTTGACAGATGGCAGGAAATTGTCACGTTAATGTTAAAGGAGCTTATTCCGTTGTTTTGGAGGGATGTACACATTCTTCTATGTTAGTCTTACATTTCTTTTCTTTAGTGGCAGTGACAGGCACAGTGAATTTAGGAATTTACAAGCCATTGCTTATTGGAGTTCCTTTGTTAGCTTCTTAATTCTCATTGTGCTGGAGCAGGAAACTTCATAATAGAAATAGTGAGACTTTGCCATAGGTTAAAAATGTAGATCAGCCATCGGGACCGTAGGCATCCTTTGTTTGCGAACAGCACACACGGCCCACGCTGATGTCGGCCAGCTATTGCAAGGCTGCCACAAGTTCATACGAGAAGTTAGCAGAGTGGAATGCTAAGGTAGAATCTCCCGTTTCCAGTGCAGGAGACCCGGAGGGGAGACAGCAATTATTTTTTTTAAAGACGTATTTATTTTAGAGAGAGCACGCACGTAGGAGCAGGAGGGGCAGAGGGAGAAGGAGAGATAATCTCAAGCAGACTCCTCATTCAGTGCAGACCCTGACATGGGGCCGGACCCCACAACCCCAAGATCACGACCGGAGCCGAAACCAAGAGTTGGACACTTAACTGGCTGCACCACCCGGCGCCCCAAGATAGCAATTTTTATTAAAGAGACTTTTTCTTCAGTCTTTCCTCATCAGAGCAGGAGCTCCCAGACTTCAGTGTCAGAAATGTATTCAAACCCTCCAGCCTCAATAGTGTATTTAACACAAATGGGGCTAAACCAGCTAGCACCGCCAAGTTCCATTTGGGTAATGAGCCATGAGCCTGCTGTTCCCACCAAGAGTGGCAGTTCATCAGAAAGAGAAGAAAAGGGCTTGTGTTTTCATGTCTCCTCATCTCAGACCATCTAACTGAGTACCAGTCAGCACCCCAAGTTTTCAAATCAGAATCTACTTGAGCCAATCTGAGAGGAGGGCAGTGTATTCACAGATTCGGGTGTGTTACCTCTGGGCTGTGCTTCCATCACCATCTGTGGAGCAGCTCGGAGGTGGAGTCCGTGGGGGGACCGTGACTTGCTCTGCAGAGATTGGAAATGCTGTGTTTGAACTCGTGCCCCCAGGGAATACACAAGTTCTGGTAGGTCTTGGTTCCTATAGGAGTCACAGTGATTTTGCCCTCCTGTATTTCAGGAGGACTGTGACGCCACGAAGAACACGTTTCCTGTGGTGAGAAGATGATTTTCCTGGTGGACAAGTGTGACTCGGGAAAATGCTGTCTCCTCCTGGCAGATTCCTTGGAGCCCCAAGGCAGACGTGTTGTGGAGCGGACGAATCTCCCCCCTGGGCCAGCTGGGGCACATGGCTGATGAGCCTGCTCAGTGTCTCCGTGTCTGTGACTTTGACATTGAGCACGTGTTTCCAGGGATCCAGAAGAGCATTCAGGGCTCTTGGGGGAAGACTTGCAAGAGTGGCATGTGAGTGAGGCGGAGGGTACACACGGACCATCCAGCGCGGGTCCCGGGTCTTGTGACCCTGACAACGGGGTGCGGTTCGCTGAGAAGCGACTGGCACGGGCAGCTCGGGGAGCCCTGAGCGCCTCCTGTCAACCACACAGAAGCCTGGGTCCTTGCGTCCCCTTTATCAGGGTGCTCGCAGCAGCTGCTACACGGTGAGGCCTGCTTGCAGGTAGGCATTTCTACTGAAAATCAGCTAAGAATGCAGGATTCTCAGCTTTAAAAACAACCACAAACACTTCATGGATTTGTCAGCATGGGGCCTGCATCCCCACGGCCAGAGCTGCCTGCAGGGCCACTCCGTCTGCACGCGGCTTGTTTTCCTAGACCTGTGGCCCTGCCCGCTTCGTCGTCATGTCACCTTCCGGCCTGCTAGCCACTGGATTGGACCCTACTTCCTGGCGGTAAATACCCCCCTCACCCCCGTCCAGTATGCCCACTAACCGTGCGCTAACCCTGCCTGTGGCCGCACATGTCCGCAGAGCCAGGCCCTCCTCTCCCCGCCGGCCCTGTCGAAAGTATCCCCGGCTGCACACCTGCTCCTCACCAGCAGACTCACCTCATTTCAGTTCTTTCCCACACTCAACGCAGACACTTCCTGCTCAGGCCACTGATGGCCCAGCATCACTAAGTCCATCTTCAGGTGCAACCCTGGGCCACCCCGCAGACTTGACACTGTTGCCGGCCACTTCCTCTGTGTACACTCTTGACATGTGGCTTTGCAACCCTGCACCAGTGGGGTTCTTCCTGCCCCCGGTGCTCCTTCCCAGTCTTCTTGCCAGGCTCCCCCTCCTCTGCCTGGGTGTTAGGTGTCCCACACAGATGCCCACAGGCTCCTGTCTCCGTGTTCATTCCCCGGCCTTCAAGATGGTCCATACAGTGCAAGATCCCAAATTTATGTGTCTAGAATGTTCCTGTCTTCTAGCTCCAGACTCATAAATCAGGTGTTTACTTGATGTCTGCATTTGGGTGGCTCATGGGCAGCGCAGTCCACAAGCCAGGAGTAAGCTCCATTCCAGAACTCCCTGTTTCCGATGTAATACGTGGAACCACAGGCCGTCGACTTATTCATTCTTTGTATTGTGTCTCCCTCCTCATATCTGACCCAGCACTAACCTGTTCATTTCATGGCCCAAATTCCCTTAGATCCCCTGGAATCCATCTGCTTTCCCCATCTCCATGGCCTCCACCCCAAGGGAACAGAGGCCTGCTGCCTGCACAGCCTCCTGACTGGTCCCGTGACTTCCACAGACGCCCCCCGCCCCCTCTGCACTCCCTGTGGCAGGTTGAATGACCTTTTAAAGAAGCACATCTGGTCATCTGCCTCTGCTGCTGGGGACCCCCCCCCTGCTCCCCTCACACCAGCATAAGAGAAAGCCCCCCCCAGGCCCAAAGCCCAGCGTGCCTGTCTCAGCCCCCCTGTGCCCCCTCCTCGCCCACCCCTGCTCCAGCCACAGGGCCTGTGCATATGCTGTTCCCTCTGCCTGGAGCGCCCCCCCTGCTCCCATTCCTGGCTGCTCCCGGTGGCCCCCCATCTCAGCTCTGCTGTCACTCTCCAAGGGACCCTTCCCTGACCTTTGTGGACCAGGTAGGTGTCACCGTTGTCTCTCTTTCCCTGGTGACACTTACATACCTTATGAGCTCATTCCGTTCCTGTTTCTGTTTTCACGAGACTGTCCACTCACCTGCTTTTATTCATCATGACATGCACAGCACATGGCATAGAGTAGGAGCTCAGTAGATACCTACAGAATGGATGAGCTACAGATAATAGCCCTGGTACCTGGGAATCAGAGGCTAGAGACCGTGGGTGCCACAGCGAGGCTGTGCTGGCTGCAGGACTCGAACCCAGGTCTCTGCGACACCGGGGTCCGCTGCCCCTGGACTCACAGACTTCTGTCCCTTCTCTGTTCTGTCCATAGGAGGGTTCAGGCCCCCGTCTGCATCTCATTGGCGTTCGTGCCTCAGGAAGCAAATGTGTCGTGTTACTGAGTCATGACATGACACACACAGACCTCCGTTAGTCACACGGGCGCTCGGTTAGCTAAGAGATTGGAAGGGAGATCCCCTGCAAAGGTTGCTTCAGCTGTGGGACTGTGCTTTTCTACTGAGAAAAGACCATACATCGGAGTTAATATAATTCACGATAAAAGCATGAAAACACACACTGCTTTGTCGAGACATGGAACCACGCAGTTGTTAAAAATGTCCGTAAATTCTACGAGATGCTAACTACAGTGTAGATCAAAGTCTTATTCTCACAGTTAATTATTGTGAATGTGGGTGTAAAAGGCAGGATCACTGCATGGAGATGCCCCTGTCACAAGGTCTACGATGGAACCATGTCACTAAATGTGCCCTCCACCTCCTTTGTCTTATTTTTGAAACCACAAAAGCCCACGTAATGCGATGCAGCCCAGGCTGCCCGTCCTGCGTGGGTCTGGCGCACGGGGCAGCGCGAGCACTCGGCATCTGTGGGCTCCCGGCGGCTCCGTCAGGAGGTCTGAGTCCGTTCTGCGATTTTTTTCCAGTTGAAGCATGTGTGCCCAAGTCACCAGGCCCTTGTTGGTGCATCAGCAGACTGGAAAACCCTGCCTTACGTTTCCATGTGGACCAGTGTCTTCACAGCGGAGCCCAGGCCAGGAGCCCGCTCCCCGTGTCTGATGGTACCGAGTCCCCGCCGCAGCCGCTGGCTCGGGGCCCAGGTGGGGTCTGATGGAGGAGGCCGCGGAGCAGGGCCGCAGCAGCCTGAGGGTCCGGTCCTGGGCAGGGCCCGATGGCCCGAGGTGCTCCAGCTCCTGCCACCTGCTCCGAGAGGTCAGGGGTCACTGACCAGCCACGGTCACCGCGCATTCCTGTCTCTGTGTCTTTCCATCTGCCCCTGACCTCGGCGCCAGCATGAGCTCCGCGGCCGGCACACCTTCCATCGGGAGCGAGACGGTGGTGTCCCGTGGGCAGAGTTACAGCCCTCGTTCACGGTCACCGTCACCGGGGAGCCAAGGGACGGCTTCCAGGGCTCCTGGGGGTGATGGTGAGGCGGCGCCACGTTTCCGAGCCCGTTTCCCTCCTGCAGCAGGGACGGGCTTCTCTGGAGGATGCTGGTGGTGGGGGTGGCATCTCCTCTTCCATTCTCGTCCTGCGTCTTCATCAGTAAGGATTTGCTGAACACAGGCGGGCAGACTTTGTACAAAAGAGGAAATGGCTCCTCTGGAAGGGCAGCTGGGCAGGACGGGAGAGCCTCCCTCAGGATCCCTGCTGAGTGGCACACCACTGCCATCAGGCATGGAGGTGTCCGGCCGCTGCCAGGCCGCATCTGTCCCTGCGTCTCCTTGTCCCAGCAGTGTCACTGCGGCTGCAGAGACGATGCACCGCTGGCTCAGTCCTGGGTGACAGGTTTCAACTCCAGGGGACGTGGGGTCCTGGAGGAAGATCTGGGCTCAGGGAGCCAGGAAGTGGGTCCATGGGTGCTGAACAGCCGCAGCATTTTCCTGAGCCCAGGGCCAGGCGGGTGTGGGCTCAGATGATGTACCTGTGACCCCCTTCCATAGACTGGCTCATAGCGGACGACGTGAAGCAGAGGAAGAAGGGGCAGAAACGGGAGTCAGTGCATCTGCGGGTGAGGGGCGTGGTGGCCCATGGGCTGGGACCTCCTGGGCTGCTCTGGGGTGCAGAAGGCAGCCTCCTCGAAGCCTGCTTCCCACTGTGAGTGGAAATGATCGCTTTTCGTGGAAAATAAAATAGGAAGGTTTGGTGTGTTGTTCATAACAGCCCTAGAGCCAGGCTGTGCACCAGATCAGCCTTTCACCATGTTTTAAACCCATACTGGCTCTTACAGAAAAGAAAATATTCAGAAATAAAAATATTATCTCCTTGGGAGGTGCTGCTGTGGTCCCCTTGGGGGCCATGTCTCTAGTTGAGGAGCTGATTATCTGCAAATCTTCTATCCAAGGAGATGTGTTAGGGAAGTCTGCTTTATAGTTTGTATTAGTAAAACAATATTTTTCCCAGCGGAAGACCATTTGAGAGAGACGCACAGAGAGAGACAGAGATTACTTATATTGATCATAAACTCCTTTGGTCAGACCTAGGCTATGAAGCAGTTTAATAAATTAGAAAGGTTTTCTTCTGACTGTGGAAAATCTGTGTCCCTGAGAAATGCTGTTGGAAATGAGAAGCGGTTAGCACACTTAACCCTTTACTGTGACAGAGGACACAGTCCTAAAGCCCACTGCCCAGCGCCGGCCTCACTGGAGCCCCGGCTTTCCCCAACAACTCAGGAGTGTGCAAGTAGAGGACGCAGCGTGGAAGGGTCAAAGGGTCACTTCGGAAGCTGCGTGTGAAACGCAGCTCCTTTCTTCTTATGCTGAGAACGAATGACGTGTTAGAATGCAGTCTGCAGAATGTCTGCATTGGAGAAATTCAACCCAGAGTCTCTGGGATAAATGATATAATCTCTTCCATGGGTAAGAGGCACCTGCAGAGAACATTCCAGAAGGAGGTTCAGAGGTGACAGCTGGGACACTTGATGCAGATGGAGGATGGAATCTAACCCAGGACCTTGGAGGCCCCGAGACAGGCCCTAGGTGGAATGTCCGCTGTCCCAGGTCCCCTCCCAGATGGCACCTCAGTGTTCTTTATACAATAAAATAAAAGCTTGTATCTCGGGAGGCAAACAGGGAAGGCAGTGCCGCTGCCAGAGCCCAAGGAGGCAGGAGGCGAGGATGCTCAGGGAGACCCGATCCGGAGGGTCAGGGCGTGGGCCGTCAGCTGGGGGTTGGATCTGAACACAGGAGAAAGGACATCCGGAGTGAGGTTGCACTGCCCAGAGCTGTCGGTGAAGCCAGATGACATCAGGAGGGGTGCTGCTGGGACACCCAAAGGTGAGGGATTTTGAAGCTGAACAAGCCGCCCTGGAGATGGCCATGCTCCCCCTGCATGGTGAGCGTCTGTGGAACTGCTGCCCACACCCCGGTTTGCAGGGAGAGCTCTGTTCTTGGCCCAGAAAAGGACCAGATTCATCTGAAATGACTCGCAGACAGAGAAATGCTTGGGACCAAGGGGTGATGGCAGATGTCTCAGTGGTGGAGGGTATAAGCGACAAACATTCACTCCTCCCGGTCTGAGGCTCAAGTCCGAGATCAGGGTGCCAGTGTGGCAGCGTTCTGGTGAGACCGCTGCTTCCTTGTGTGTCCTCATGTGGTGGAAGGGGACCAGGAGCCCTGGGGGCCCCTTCCATAAGGCTGCAGTCCCATTCATCAGGGCCCTGCCCTCCTGACCAGCTCACCTGCAGGAGATGCGGACAGACGCGTGGCGGAGAGCGCGACGGTCTGACACCCCATCAGCCCCAGCCCACTGGACCGGTCCTGCCTCGGCATCCAAGTGAAGGATGGGCTTCGGTTTGGGGTGATGATTTGACTTCTGAACCCGGTGGAACTGCTCCTTTCCAACTCCCCCTTGCCGCCCCTGCTCAGTGCACAGACACCCCCCGGAAGGCAGGGCCCTCATCTCGCAGCCGGGACCCCCAGGACAGAGTCCTCACTGTGCCGAGGGGGTGGCTCCCATAAGCACATCCCGTGGAGGGACTCTCTGCTGGACTCCCGCGTGCACCCCGGCCCTGCTGCTCGGCCTCGGGGGAGAAGAGCGCCATGAGGCCCCGCCCTGAGGGCCAGGGCCCACGTGAGCCAGTGTGTGTGCCACGCTCAGGCCCGAGAGCTCAGGGCAGAGTGGGGTGTCACCATCGCTGTCCTTGCTGCTAGCCCCACCCTCACGCTCTCCTCAGGCAGCACCCTTTCTCCCGGGGCAGGTGTCTGGAGGGGCATCTCATGAGATGAAGGGATGACCAGTTCTCCTTCACCTGGTACGTAAGTGTTAAGTTCTGTCAAAGTCTGACATTCAACTTGCGATTGCCTTCCCTCTCAATCATTCCTGGAAACAGGCATTTGGGGGTAGAAGGGGGAGAAGGATGTGTTTTCTCTACTTGTTAAGGATTGTGTTCAGCTGCAAGAAACACCAGAGACAGCCGAGAGCCTGGCCCAATGAGAATTTACTTTCCTCCCCGGCAGACCCAAGGAAGGCTGGGCTGGGGTGGCAGCCCGAGGAGCCCTCAGGACTTGCCATGGCATGTGGTTTGGGCACCTGTGCAGCTCTGTGGTTACCAGGGGGCGGCACCAGCTCCCCCATCACAGCTCCATTCCTGGCAGAAGATCAGGGAGGGCCCAGTTCACCCCTTAAAGGAACCCGCTGCCTGGGAATCCGCTCGTTTGCCTGCATCGGGTTGGTCGGAATGGTGCACGGTTCCTGGGAGATACAGCTCCCAGCTGCGCATGATGCACCTCCCAAGCGCTGCAGTGCCCTGTCGCCTGGAAGGACTGGGCAGGTGCACAGTGCTGAGGCATCGTCAGAGCCCACGGGAGGGGAGTCTGGTTCTGGGGGCCTCCCTGGCTTGGCTGAGCAGAGGCTGGTAGACTGCGGACAAAGTCAGCCTCCCCATTGTTCCCTGGTTCTACTCCCCATGTCAGTGGCCCACCCAGAGGGAGTCTTTGGGGAAGCCTCACCATAGCCTCTGTCCCATAGCCATAACCTCAACATTGACAGATGAGGGCCGCGGGGGACCAGTTCCAGAACCCCATGGAAGCTCTGACACAGAAGGCAGCGCCGGGGCTGAGGGGCTGAGTGGGTCTGCACACGCTAGCATCTGTCCTAGACCACGGTGTCTGCTTGGACTGATCACAGCCTGCGAGCAGGACAGTCTGCAGAACCGCTGTCTTACACACTGGTGTTGTGACTGGTGGCACCGAGCGCTGAATTCTTTCCCTGCCTCTGGGTCTGGTGAGCAGAATCTAGGTGTTTCTGTAGGAACAAGCAGCTTTAATCTTGCCCAGCAAACAGTACGCGGGAAGGCCACTGCTGATCCTTCTCATGGTTTGGGGGTCGGGGTGGCCTTCATCACTTGGGACACTCACATTGTGATTACTTTTCTAATTTGGCAGAATGACAGTCTGCCTGGAACAATCAGGCACGGTCAGTTTAGGCAACAGTCAGGTACCTGATTTCTGTTGACATGCTTATGGCCACAAGTGTCTCTGGCATCTGCGTCTTGTTGACTTGATGTTTGGGGAAGAGAGTTTTCACCCGGCTGACACCTGAACTCCTCACACGAGCCTCTTGCCAAAAGCTATGGGGGTGTCTCTCTCTCATCCAAATGTGGACGTGCTCCACCATTAGCAGGAGCTGCTTACCCACCGCATTAATTTCCCTGTGTTTCCTGCAAGGGCTCATTGGATGCAGCACAGGTGTGACTAAGAGCAGATAAACACACATGGATTGGGACCCATGGAATTTGGACAGGCCGGTTAGTTTCATAAGAGGAACAAAGAGAAGTGAAGGACGAGCGGACGAAGGCACAGCCCTCTGAGCCCCATTAGCCCACCCATCCTCTCCCTGTGCCTGGATCTGTATCATAAATGCTGCCTATCACTTTCTTGTTGGAGACCCCAGAAACCCCCCTACATGTCCCTCTAAACAAGGTCTGTGGAAAGCCTGAGGATTTCTAGCGAAGTGCTCACTGACCTTGGGCTTCCTACGGCTCCCTGCCCGCCCCCATCACCACCCTCCACCGGGTGACTGCAGCTC